CGGAGTTCATTCGCACTGTTTGTTTGCATTTGCATTCGAATTACGCGTATCTCGTGTATCTGAAAATGTAAAACATTTCGAACAAGTGTGACTCAATTTAATTAAAAGTTAAATTTATCTTGGAAGAGATTCAAAGTAATTTGTTCTTAGATACGAACGTGTTAACTAGAAAGTTTTTTGGTAGAGAGTCCTTTTTGTTTTATGTTTTTGCGGTACTTGCAGTTATTATCCTCACGTAAAAGAAGACGGCTTTTGCTTTATTGGGGGTTTTGCTGAAAGTGAAGCACCTCTTACGTGCAACTACCTCAACGGTAGCAGTTTGCGGGCTTTAGGGGTTTTGTTAGTCTTACAATCATTCGTGGTAATGACATCTTCACATTTCAGGCGTCTTTACAAGGTTTTAGAAGCCTTCTCCATTTTAGGTTGAAAATCTTGAAAATTCTTTGGACCATTAACACTTCTTTGGGTAAATGTTTTGGTTTTATTATTATTTCACAAAACTAAATGTATTTCTTTAATTTTCTTTAAGTGGTGTGCATTTTTAAGGTTTTTGCATTTTTTGCTCATAAAATGAAATTAAATTTCCAACACAAACTGAAACAAGTTCATTTCTTTTAGAATATTGCACAAGCTGCACTTTTTTTGTAAAATTTTCTATGAGTCTATGAATTTACTCGTCCGTGCGTTGTAACATTGCAACGTTACTTTTTGTTGGATTGTGGTCCGTCGTAACGAAGTGGCAACGCATCGGGAATGCGGGAAATTCGCTAGAAAGCAACGCCGCGGTTGCGGGCAACGAGCTTAAGTGGAAAAGTTCGCACCGGGGAAATTGCGGACAAGCGCCACGAATTGATCAAGCGGGGATAACTAAAAAGAAACACACTTAACGAATAAAGGAAACTTAAAAAATATATTGCAAAACTAAGATAGCTAAAGTAAGCAAGCAAAGAAAAACAAACTAACAAAGTTAGTTCATATCGAAAAGTTTGCTTTCAGTGTTTTACTTAATGACAGAAAGTAACGATTAAAAACTCCGTCAACAACAACTTTTAATGATTTTATAATTTATTTACTAAATTCTAGGTAAACGAACAAAAAAAGTAAAAACTTTGCCATTAAAAATTATAACAAATGACTAGGCATTAATCAACATAACCTCAATTCTAATCTAATCTAAAAAATTTATATTACACAGCTAAAATTAGTCTGTAGCGGTCATATCGCCGCCATGGTTTTTAATTATTCTCGGGGTAATTTAACACTGTCGTATACATAAAATGTTCCTGATATTACTCTGCTTTTTTATACCTACGCTAGTACATTTTGTTGTCATAGTCGAGCTGGTTGCATGTGTATTGGAATTAAAGTAAACGAAATAACCGGAAAAATGATCGATGCGACTTTAGAAACGAATTGAATTATTTAAAAAGGTCAATACATCATGCGAAGCTACACACAAACTCAATTCCTTAGTTCCAATCGATTTCAACCGGAAGAAAAAATATTTGTGGATATTTTTTTATTAAATAGGCTATTTTATTAGATAACTAGCTTTTGTCTGCGACTTCATTCCGGTAGTGTTTAATAAAAATATAATTTGTTTTTACTCTCTTGTTCTAGACATAGTATGTGTCAATTCTATCAATATGATTCGCAATTTTATTTTAAAGAAATTAATTATAGAAATAATTGCTAATGATACACTTCTGCGCGCCATCTCGGATTCAACTATTTAACTATATCTATGATTGAATCTCAATGGCAACTTTTATCCTATAGAAAAAGGCTGCCTTTGGGGTTTTCCCGGCATTTATTCGAATTTTTCTCACCGTAAAAACCATCTTTGGACTTTAACAAGCATTTTAAAAAAAGAATTGGCTCAATTGTTGTAGGCGTTTTTGAGTTATGCGCTTACTAACAAATTTTGTGATTCATTTTTATATTATAGATAATCATTAGTATTTTTTACTGTTTTAACATTAGAAATGAGATGTTATAATATCATATGATATGATATCATAATAGGGAAGTAATGTTATAGTCTATAATATAGTGAATGATGCAATAAAACATTTATATGTTATGAGCCAACATAGAGCTTTCACCACCTGACACGGATATCATAAACACGGATGTAATGCGTATTTGTAATTGGGTAATATTATACTGATGTTTTTATATTACATGCTTTTATATTTGGTGTTCAATATAATTCGAATTCAGCAATGTGTGCACTAATGCATTCATTTATAGTCGGTGAACGTGGGGTTGACGGCCATTATTTGTCCGCATTTCATGGCTATCACGACCACGGCCACGACCACTTTCTAGTTTGCATGCTTCCGCTTTCCGCTTGTTACTAGTTTGGTTGTTGGTCGCTGGTCGTTTGGCAAATTGCAACTTTACTCCACGATATGATCTCGATACTATTATGCGCACAGTCGGAACAGACTCTGAAGTCTTCATTTTACATGCATGGTAGCATCTGCTTCGACACTATCAAAACCAGAGCGCCGGTAACATCAGTGGTTGTTGGGATGTAGAGGTAATGGTGAGTGCGACATCTACCTTTGACATAAACATTGTGCTTCCAGTATCTAGTATCTAGCTTTGGACGTTTTGCTGCAAGTTGCCTGAAACCTGCTTTGCATATTTAACTACCCGTATCCAATGATCTTCATGTCGGATATGATATAGTTTTGTTGAAAAACAAGCATCACTCTCAACACACTGTATAATTTTTTTTCTTCATAAAGTTATAATCCTAACAAAATGACTTTAAATTGCATTTTGGTCCCCTTCTTACCCGACTTCTTGTTTGTCACTTTTCATCGATTATTATATTATATAATATAGAAGTGTCTAAAAGTGTTTACTTTTTTGCTTATATTTCGTGCTGTGCATTAAAAACTCGTTGAGTTTTTAAGTTTTTTGAGTTTTCATCCGCTTTGTCTTCTATTCTTTCATTCTCCGCAGAATGAAAAAGTCTATTGAAGAAGCTGTGGCCAACAACGCCGAACAAACATTTAGCGTTTTATAAAGTTTGCGCACGTAACGCCATTGTCGACCGACTTGACGCAAATGTCTTCATCTTGCTTTTTCATATGAATGCAAATATTTATACCGCATATTTACATAAAGTTTTATCAAAAAAACTTCCACATGGGAAAATGCAACTAGATGGCGCTGCAATACTAGGTTTAGAATCCGCTTATACTACTTGTTAGTATTTTTACATTATTTATCATTCAATGCCGTCTAAATGCGTTTAGATTTAGGTTTTGTCTTCGCCCAAATCTCTTCCCTTGGATTTGAATACGTATTCGGTCCCATTTTGCCTTGTACACCATGCGATTCTCCTGGAATACAATCCAGTGACTCTGGCGTGGCTCTGCGTCGGATTCAGTTTATCATTTTAATGTCCGCATAGCATTTGCATAATATTCCACATGCCACACACCAACACAATTTATACGAAACAATGCGTGCCTATATTGCATTCAGTGTTTGTACACAAACGCGCGATAACTGCAAAAACAGTTGATTTGTATAATCCGAATAAACTGCATCAACTAAATCTACATGTAAACTGTTGGAATTGTTCAAAAACAAACGACAAATAATGACAAATGAAAACAAGCGAAGAAGTTTTCTAAGAATTCTGCAAAATGAAAAGTTTTTGACGCAAATAAAGTTTAAGAAGTCTTAATACAATGTGGATTTTAGTATTATATAGCTTTTAAGGGTTGGTTTTAGATTTGTAGATGCGTATTTGAATTGCTAATTTATTAAATTATTTTAATTTTGGGTTTAGACAAAAATGTTTTGAAAACTTAATAACGAGCATGCAGCAAATGATTTCTCATGTAGGGAATACATGTAGATCTCTACATTTACCACACTTTAGTGGTGGTGGTGTGGTGTGACATGGCGCATGAGATTTATGATGCTTTTAAATCGCGACGCAACAATAATTTACTGCGACCAGAGCAGCCAGCTGACCGAATGACTAGCAATAACCTTGGGACTAGTTACCGCTGCCAATATTTAACACATCCCCTCTGACATATCCCACATTTTATGTCACGTGACAGAAAACTTTAAAAAGTACTTTGGATTTAGGTCACTTTTTTCTGATTTATTATTCATGAAATACGTGTGTCATTAAATTGATGCGTGATAATCGAAAAATAATGGCGCAGACTTAAATAAATAATCCTAACACAAAAGTTACGGATAATGCATTTTCAATTGTTCTAAGCCACTTTATTCCATTATCATAAGTGCGTATTTTAATCAATTTTCATAGTGTATTTTTTGCTATACGGATAATATTATGCTTTAATCTATAATTTCAGTAAAAATAACAAACTGGGATTGTTTATACTGAGTGGTTAATTGTAATTTAATGTTATTTATAGTTAAACAATTAATTGCCTCTATGAAACGTTATTTACCGAATACAAAATGTTGGAGTAAGTGGTTGAATGACTGACTAATGACAATTAGTAACGCAAATGGCATTAAACATAGCAAACAATGTAAATATTTAATTAATTTAATTACACTTGTGCTTTTGTGGTTTGTGCTTAGTTTTCAACTACATGCGACCTCAATTCTAAATTAATTCACGTAATTGATGTAAATAATGTAATTTATTCAATAAATGCGAGTGAGACATCTAAGTACTCCCCTGAACGTTTAAATTTTAAAATTAATTCATTAGGGAAACAAGTAAAATTATAGTAAAAACTTTTACTCTATTTTAATTGTCTCCAGAGAGCAGCCAACAAGAAATTAAGTGGCAATTAATTAGTGTTTCATGTACACGTATGTATGTAACATATGATAAATTTATTTTGTTTATAATAATTTTTTGATTTGACTTGAAGCTTTTAAGAACTACTTATAATATTTAAAAGTTGCTTGATGTTTGCTTTGATTTTTTCACACCTTTACATCATCTTTGTTTGCGTATTGAAAATGTTGCTGTAACTTACCTTAATGTTGAAAGTTTTAGCAACCGAAACCACAAATAATTTCGCACATAATATTCGCACTCACGTGTTTACTTACACTTGTAACTTTAGCTGAGTTTAGTTTAGTTTCAGTTCAGTTTAATTCACAACAAAGTTTCAGTTTTTTAATAGAAATATTTTGACTTTCTATGAAAGTTTAAATTTACCTCTGTAAAATTTTGATATTTTCACTTTTTATTTATTTATATTATTAAATATATATTTCTAGTGAGATTAATATTTACATTTTATAGTCAAATAAATTTTTAGTTAATTATTTTGTTGTATGAAATAATTGTATTTGTTCGTTGTTAAGACACGTGTGTAAGCGCACGATGATAACACGTATCACGACGAGCGCCCGCGCGTTTGTTTGCAGCGACGTCGCGACGCGAACTGACCGAACTCGAGTGCGTCGCGACGCCTCACGTCGCTTACCATTTTCAACAACCTCCCCCACCAACCACCGGCAGCTTAAAATTCAAAAGTTAAAGTTCAAATATTCATAATTACAGTGTTTAAATAATGGAAAATTTTAATTAATAATTTCATTACGGATATTAAAATTTCCCAAGACGCGCGGCGGTTAATTATCTATAATGACAAGTTTTCAACCGATCTATCACTAATTAAATCCCCTAACGAATCCAATGAAAGTGATGTTGATGTACTCACACACGTTGTTTAAAATAATGATCTCAGCGCATGTTTCATAACCAATAATATGATTTTAATGAACGCGCATGACGCTGCCACCAATAATATGTTTAATAAACACATGCATGAACATTGCAACATCTGCTTTGGTAACATCCGTGAACATAGTAAATTTTAGTGTCCATTGCACCGCGATGCTTTTATGCGTAAGTTGGTTAACTAACCAACAACTTGCCTTTACGAATCGAAATGCTCGTTTGCGCATCGCATGTAGTGGTCTGCTGGTGGTACATGGTGGCATATGATGCGTGATTGGGTTAGTGTGCACCCACATGATAGCGGCTTTCATATCGCTAATGAATTACGGTTGTATCTGCTTCTGTCTAACCCTCGCAACACCAACACTGGCAAAGCGCATACAATTGTAGAATATTGTAGATGAATAATGAATTCTGGCGCGCCTGGAATTAAATTTACGCAACGAACACGGCAAACCGCAATTAAGCACTTTGCTTCAAATCTTCGAAATCTTCAGCATCAAAAGTGGCTGAGTTTATTTTTGTTGTATTATGCAAAGGGTAGAAAATTCAATAATGATTGTTAATTAGTAATAAATGACACGTTTACTAAGTTGGGTTAATTAAGTTTGACGGGGTAGTGTGTCTAGACGTAGTCAGTTTGGTGTCGACATAAAATATCGACTAATTTACTTTTTTTTTGCTCATCTTATTTGCTTCATTTGCTTTTTTCGGGCGCTTTCATTCCGTTGTTATAGGCGGTGATAAATTTGAGCAATTAATTTAAAATAATATTTGAGTTCTTTTTTTGTAGATAAACGTATAATTGTCTAATGGCGTTTTTTCTGTAATGGAACTGTTTGCAAACAAAGCACGAAAATCACAAAGAGCATAAAAATACTTGTTTGCATTTTTAATTAAGATTTTTTCACTGCTTGAGTAAATTTTTTAGCAAAAATATTAAAAACCTTCTGAAAATGATGCTGGGTATAAATTATTTGTTACTATATCTCTGAGCTGATTTTTTCTACAAATTGCGAATGACAAGATGGCCGAAAGCAATAACCATTCACATGTTCTGAAACTTAACAAGCGAGCCTTCTTCCTATGGCTTTCACTTTTCTAATACTTCTGCAGGAATCTATGTAAGATAAGGAATGTTGGTGTCTAGTTAGAGCGCGATGAAAGTACCGCAGTTACCGTGATGTCCTCGTCCTCGTTTTCTGGAGTAGGACATAAAGGCTACGGAATGATTGGCGAATGGTAGTAGAATAGTAAAAATGTTGCAATCTTCCGGAACGAAGCGAACAAGAGTAAAAAAAAGAAACGGAAAAGATTGAAAGAGTGCAAATTCTGGTTGGAGTTTCAAGTTTTGCTTTGACTTCGATTCAATTTAACGATTCCCGCCGGGATGCAATCGGAAACTTCCTGCGGGATGTCTAGTACAGTGACAAGTGACAAGACGGATGTGGTTTTTAAAATTTCAATGCAAGCAAAGCATCTAAGTCTCTATAACTAATACTAAACGAGGAGGCGGGGCATATTGTTAATTTTTAGGTTAGGTTTGGTTAGAAATTATTTTTGTCTTATCGCATATTTAGATATAACTTGCATTTACCCGCGACTTAGTTCCGGTTGTGTTAAATAAAAATCTAATTCGTTCTTACTCTCTTGTTCTATACATAGTATATGTCAATTCTATCAATAAGATTTCCAATTTTATTTAAAAAAATTAATTATATAAATAATTGCTAATAATGCACTTCAATGCGCCATCTCGGATTCAACTATTTAACTATAACTATGATTGAATCTCACTGCCAACTTTTATCCTATAGAAAACCGCAGCCTATAGAGTTTTCCCGGCAATTATTCGAATTTTTCTCGCCATCAAAACCATCCTTGGACTTTAACGAACATTTAAAAAAAAGAATTGGCCAAATTGTCTTAGGTGATGTTGAGTTATGCGCTTACCAACAGATTTTGCGATTTATTTTTATATTATAGATATAAAGGGTGGCATATTGTTAAATTTTAGGTTAGGTTAGGTTAGAAATCTTATTTTTGTCTTATTTCAAATTTATTCATAATGTTTTTGTGTACTCACATCACGCATGATGCACATATTGTATCATGTGTCTTGAAGGAAGAAAAATGAAGATAATCCTTGTTATCCTGCGTTAAGCGCTCAAATCCTGAGCGACATTTATGTCTGTTCCCACTTCCTACTTTCGCTATCGCTTTTTGCAAACACTCTCCCACTTGAACTTGCACCTTCTCAAGCACCTCCTATATCACCACACATGACACATGTCACATGCGATCTGACATAAATGAATCTCTTTTGTCCTTCATATTTTTTATCCATTTATATTTTGTTATCTTTCATCATTACAACTTACATTATTCTCCTTTTTACATAAAACGACGTCACAAAATGGCCACTATTCAATTTATTAAAATCGTTTTCGTGTCGGTTGATAGCATCGGGCAATATGGATTTAATTATGATAAATGTACGTGGATTATTCCTATTCAACGAAATCGATTACTTATATTTCCTCGAAAGTAATCTGAATTTGGATTATTGTATGTAGTGAGTTGGTAAGTTTGTAGATATTCATATAATTGCTATTATTTCAATAAAAGGTATATTAGGAATATTAGATAACATTGATTTTATAATTGCTAATATTAAATTCCATTGTGTATCGTGTATAGTGAAAAAGCAATGAATAGCTTTTATTTGCATTTTGTAGGCAACCACATATACAATTCAGTGGTTCAGTGGTGTCACGTGCGTATTAATATTCCCCTCGACCAGAATCAATGACCACAGAATAATGAGTTATTAATTAGGCAATTCAATATGCTGAAAATGATTGATACTCTATTGAGTTGCCTAACTCAAACAAGTGATTATGTTTGCCTATATCCTCGAAATATTCTCCACTTGAATTTGAAATTGTCAACGTGTCACTACCAAAATGTCAGCAACCTGTTCCGAGGCATGTCGAAAATAAAGCCGTATCGATTGCATTAGAAATAAAGACGTTTGTTGATTCAATGGCGTCGAGTACTACGCACTTGGATATTCCTAGTAGCATGGCAATTGCATGTAATGTTGTCATGTACATGGATTTCATATGTTTCATGAGTTTACATGAGTTTCATGAACTTCTCGTAAACTCACGCAACACACTTGGGCATGACGGCGCACAAGTCCAATATTTGAAGAAGCATAATGGAGCGTGATGGGGTAGGTGGGCGGCTCGTGAAATATTACCTTCCATTTACTTGGAAACGCTTCAAACGCACAAAACGCACCCAGCGCACGTGTTTCTGACGTGTGGGGGTGCTTTTAAATTTTGAATGCGCCAACAAACTTTCCACGGAAATTGGGGGTGTGACGGAAATTGAAACTGACTGAGGGTGGGAATTATTTAGTTTTCTGCATTGCGGCGACATCTTCTATAGGAAGCAGTTAGTAAAACAAGGACTTACAGTGTTTTTGTATAGTCACTTCATTCAATCGCAGATGGCGCGAGTAAAAATTAATTTTTAATAAAAAATTCCTAAACATTTAAAATATTTTCGCTCCCTTTTAATAACTTATATGTATTAGTAAACTAAAAAATAAATTTATTAAAGTTTTAATTTGATGAAAGTGTAAAATGTGTGTTATTTTATAAATTAGTTCAGTTTTTCGACACTAGGTGCCGCTAGCAACACTAGAATAACTATTTTTCCATTTTTATTTCCGTACATCCATCATATTTTTAATTCACAACATGACACGAGCTTACTTCATGTTTTCTATTGAAATAGCCACCCCCAACCACCTCCACACCCTGCAATAAAAGCAATGAATTGAATTGAACAAATAGATTAGTCCTACAAGTAACATGTGCTGGAATACGCTGACTAACTCAATGCGTTGCCTTACCGTGCGTTTTATTCTGCCCCAGTAACATTTGAACTTTGCATATTACATTATTGGAAGCAATGGTTGCCAGTCCCCGAGCGAGCTAGACGCCCCAAACCGCAGACTAATTTATTTATTCTCTTTATTCATTACGTTTTGTAAGGTTTTACTGCGTGCGCTCACCCAACGGCGTTTCACGGGTATATTAGTCATTTTTTCAAATAATTTTTTCTGTGCGGGAAATCATTTTTGGACTTTTCCTCTTTATATTGAACTATACTACTAATAAAACACCATGTTTTATTAGACGGGTGGCAATCAAGAAGAAGTTTATTGCTTGAAGTTGGTGGAAGTTTTGGAAGATAGAATTTTTTGTGTTTTCCCATAGGAAATCACCCACATGACGGATTGCTATCAGCTCGGGACGGCTGATGTTTTACTAAAACTGCTATTTCTACAATTGGGGCACACAAACACACATCTCCTAAGTTATCTACTGCGGTGCTGTTAGATTTTTCTGCATTATGCAACTTGCAAGCACAAATGTTGGTATAATGTGTCGCGGTTCTTGTTTGCGCGCTGCTCCAGCCCACAGCATCTCGCGCACATTTCGGTCGCGGCGCTAATTTTAGAAAACCCAATTACGGAAGCTGAGCTCCTCGCGTTTCACTATCGCAGCGAAATCACACGACGCGCACATTAAATTGCTGCACATGTGATGCTTGAGTTCGACGAATTTATGTGCAGCGTTCACATTCAACCAGTTTGAAAACTATGAGCTTCACAGGCGTTCCACGAAAATGATTCAGATCCCAGAGATGAGTTTCATTAGGTATGCCTTGTCAATGCTGCCCACCAGCCACCAACCATTTTCGGCTGGAAGCAGAATGCTTTGTCCAACGTTTATTCAGAGACCTGCAATTTGCAAATTCCTGCCGAACTACGTAATTGGAATACATTGTGACGCGGAATGCTTGCAAATTGATTTTCATTATCTATAGTGGACACTAATGGTGTTAAGTAGTTTTAAAAATGAGTTAAAGTGATTTTTATGAAAATATCAGAAATTTTTCACGTTTCATGCGTTTATTGGTTGTTTAGCTGTTAATTAAAATTCAATTCACACATTTAACGGCCGTGTTTGCTCACGCTCGTCGCGTTGCACAAACACATCGATGCACACATGCCCCGAGAGCATATCATCCGCATAAAATAAACACAAACAGGTGAAATATTCAGAGGCAACAAAATCAAAATATTAAAACAATTTAAAACCTAATCCATCTAATTGAAAATAACAACAATATGTGCATGGTATATTTGCTGATGTGAGTTGTGGTTGAGAATTCATAATGAATTGAATATTGGACACAAAATCGATGCGTTTCTTCTTTATTCCACGTAAACACGTCGATGTCCATATTGTACATTCTTGCTTTAATATAATTTCGTATTCCACAGCTTAGGCACCACAGGCATTACTCATGAAAATAATTTCATGTTATATGCTTGGTTGGCTGTGCGTAGGCGGGTGGAAAAATTGTTAAGTAATTCATAGTGGTTTTAATCAATCACTTTTATGACCGATGTTCTGGATAGCTCCAAGTTTTTGATTGTTGAATTAAATTATTGCTGCCCGTATTGTGATGCAAATTAAATTAAATTTGTGTGTTTTTTTTATTTGTCTGAAGTGAAATCTATTTTTATCTCTTTTATGATGTCCGATCTTGTGACATGACATGACAAACACTTCATTTTGGAGCGTCAGCACGGCGCCTATTATGCAACCCGTAGTCCTCTAGGCCCCTCAAATCGCGCCGTCGAGTGCGGCACTCGCCACTCGACAAACTTCTCAATCACTTTTTCCCTGTTATCCGCCTTGCGTCCTTTTCGCTCACTTTTCGCAGTATATCCTATTGTTATCTTACGCCGCAACCCACAACGCACCCACCGGATTTGTGTGCAGTGAAGAGTTCATAAAGTCGAAGTACGGAATATCACGTCGTGGTCTATTCTACGTGGAGAAGGCGAAACTTTATCTCTCGAAACATACAATGTGGTTTTGCTTCATTGATACAGTAGTCGCGACATCTATTAATTCAGTTTGCATTGGATCATATTGTATTGCGAGTATGACACCGATGTGAATGATGCTTTTCATTAAATTTCTATGTTGGTGTTCGCATTTTCCTTTTTCAAAATGATCTCGCTTTGATCTCGATGTGTATAATTACTCTTTGCTTTGCAAAACTTTTCGTATCGGATGTCTTTGTGATTACAGTCAAAACAACATAAAAATAACTTGTAACTAACGCCATCTGTATGTAATTAGCTTAAGATTAAATCGGTAATAACCTGAAAATTAACTAAATAAAACAAAATATCTACTTGTACGTTTGTAGATAGTTGATTTGATAGCTATTAATATTGGTTGATAGATACATATGCTGATATATTTAATGACGTCGTTTTGCTTTCCAGTTTCCCATGTTCTGTGTGGGCTGAATGCGCCTACACGTGACCACAACCCTCGCTACCGCAAGTACACATGTGCACACAGGCACACGTGATCGTCAAACATGTCCGATGTCGTCGTCGTCGCCGTCGTTGTTGTCGTCGCTCTAAATGGAGGATGACCTTTCCGGATAATCGATAGTTTGTATTCCCGGTTCGAACGTTTCCATGATTGTACGATTGTTTGAATTGCTACTTCATCCTCTCTTATACTGACCATATATAAGGTCCTCACAAACGTGATACAGTATCATTCAAACCCTTAATACTTCCATGGCGATAATACACGTGTATCATCTTTGAAATTTCATAATTATATTTAAAATATTAATTATTTATTACTAGATTTTGCTCGCGATTTTGTCCCGGTGTTTTATAAAATAGTAATTTGTTTTTACTCTCTTGTTCTAGACATAGTATGTGTCAATTCTATCAATAAAATTCGCCATTTTATTTTAAAGAAATTAATTATATAAATAATTGCTAATAATGCACTTCAGCGCGCCATCTCGGATTCAACTATTTAACTATAACTATGATTGAATCTCAATGCCAACTTTTATCCTATAGAAGAGGGCTGTCTTTAGGGTTTTCTCGGCAATTATTCGAATTTTTCTTGCCGCAAAAACCATCCTTGGACTTTAACGAACATTTAAAAAAAAGAATTGACCAAATTAATCTAGGCGTTGTAGAGTTATGTGCTTACCAACAAATTTTGCGATTAATTTTTATATAATAGATTAGGTATTATGTACCTGCAGACTATTTAACGCTAGATAACTTATTATCTGTATTTAGTGTAATATTTTGAGGGGTTGGTTACTGAAAGTTTGAAATTTCACTCGCCTTAAACCTCGTAATGCGTGAACCGAACCTGTGGAGTCGTAATCCGTGAGTTTAGTGTTAATTTTTAATGCGGCGCATGTAGTGCTGGACGCAGGAGGTGCTTTAGATTGTGTTTGGTGTGGGGCGGCTTGTTGGGGCGGCGTTGTACATTTTAAGTTGACCTAAAAAACGAGGCCGATCACAAACAAAAACACGGCGCGGCGGGGCCATTATCGGCCTAAACTAGTGATGAAATGTTTGGGTGAATCCACTTAAGCAACTATTTACCGCCTTTTCTATTGGATAACCGCATATCCGATCGAAAAATCTTTTTCCGGTCTATTTTACGGTCACATGTTCTCGAAATAATTGCAATTGAAACTTTCAAACTCGAATAACTCTTAAACTAAAAAAGATAAATCAAATTCATATTAAATTCCAACTTTTAGTTTTTAACTTTTCTGGTGGAGGCGCCTGAAATTTTAGTTTGACACTTGAATTTTGTTTTTGAATTTAATTTTGCTCTCCCTGGATGCAATACATTATATATAATACTTTAATAAGCTTTATTACTTTTGTCATGTGCTTAATAGCAAACTTTATGACATTTCTGTGTTTTCTATTGTTTCAAGTGTTTTCTCTGTACGCCTTACAAGTTTTACGAGTGGCTTGTTCATTGCTAGGGCTGCAACATTTGATGGGCGCATTAAACGGTCGCGACTAATCCGATTTTATGCGCGTTCGCTGATTTACAGCTCGGCGAAGCGAGAAGCGAGAGACGCCGAGCAAACAGATTGCTAATTTAGTCAGAAACTCACAAGAACAAGTCAACTGACTGTGCCTTGCACCTTGTGCGACTTCGCATATATTCCAGACGATTATCAAATTTCATTTTAACCTCCACCGGCTTTAAATCAACTAGAGTGCATCCACAAAGCAATATTTATTCATTTTTTGCCAAGTCAGCACAACTAATGATGTTTTTTTGTGGGTAGGTATATTGTATTGTGTGTGGCCTATATATCAAAGAAGGCATCGTCATCGAATATTGAATGAGTACTGGTGGAAAACAATCAATAATGCATGCGGCGCTACGCTGGATCGATCCACAACGACGACGACGTCGACGACGACGACGACCCCCTCGAAGCTTCCGAGCTTTTATGCTTATGTTGTTATTTTGATTACTTCAAAAGAATTTTCGTAGCCAAATCTAGTATGTACACAGGCTGCTGCTGTGGGAATGGTTGTGGAACCCGCATACTCCTACTAATTTTAATAAATTTGAATACTTAGTATGGTTGACGAAAGGTGTGGGCAGGAATCGTGAAGCACTCGAAAACGTTCGCGAACGTTCGAAATATTTATCGAACCGAGTTGAAGCGTATTCATTATTTATGCGGTTTACGATCGTCATTGTGGTTTACGCCACATGAGTTTACAGTTAAATTTAGGGGTTAGAGGTTATTAAAAGAAAATAACCAAACATTATATCTACTTAAATCTTATTAATAAATAAATTCATAAATGCGCCACAATTTATTTTATTTTATTAAAACTTTAAAATTGATTTAATTTTGACCCAATTAAAAATCGATTCGAAGAAGAACATTTGTAATCAGCCCCTTGACCTGTAGCATAAAAGACATTGACGTTTAAAAATAATCCTCTTTAAATATTTATACTATGAACCTATTTTAGTGAAGGCGGTAAATGATAATAATTTTTACACGTTGTTAGATTAGCATCTTAGGGTTGGATAAAAATATTAACTTTTTTTTGCTCTGACTTAATGTGTCAACTTGTAGGGTTGTCGACAGCATAAATGTTAATGTCCTCGAACATCGGATATGCTCGAGCATCAACAAGTAAGCAATCTCAGTCGGGCTTCGAGCTTTTAAGCTTCGAGCATCGAGCTTAACATAATGCTCATGGCGATCTAACGATGTAATTGATTGTCGAGTCGTTGTGGGGAGCAACTGGTTGCGGGAAAATTGGGAAATTATCTTTATTTTTAAAACAAAACACAAACATGATTTGTAAACACAATATAACCTTTGGAATATTAAAATTACGCAGGTATGACGTCAATGTGATATTATTTTTATTAAAAATACAACAATAAATTATTATAATGATATAATTTGGACTGCTTGATGTTAAATCAAGTTAATGACCATTTAATCCATGCATCAATAATATTTCCGTTGTTCCAGAGCTAACCGGCTGATTATAATAATCCTGAAAAATGCATTTCTGCGCTGCGTCATGATTACGCTTACGATTACATGGCCTATTATCGGATATTATCGCCCTGTGCACGTAATATATGTTCGTGTTAATGCTACCAGCGAGCAGCAAACACCTAATCGCCTAGAAAAGCAAAAAGAAAAAAACACAAAAATCAAAAGGCAATAGCGCAACAGTAAAAAAACGAAATAAAACTTACAAACCATTTTATAGTTTATGATATATCGTTAAAGTGATTAATGTTTTTTTGCTACGTTTCATAAATCACACAGTGTATAATGCATAGTATTAGTTTATGGTGCAAAACTGATTGACATATCAATTTGTTTAGATTGTACTCATCTTGTGGCGACAGTATAAATAATAAGCTGCGCTGTCATGCCAGGATAATGTTTGTACCTGGATCCATTTTGGTTGCCTCGCTCGTCCTTTGTCCTTACACCGCACGTAAATTTAAACGTTGTCATGAAGATTCATGCGACAACGTTTCGTCTCCGATGTTTGGTAAAGTATGATAGATTATGATTACGTCAGGATGAGATGAGAGGACAATGCAAGGACGAACGTGGCACACTTGTGTCAAACGTATTCGCAATATTTTAAAAACGTGTCGGGAATTTAGTCAAAAGTTACTTATTCGCACTGGAATGTTGAATAACTTGAAAAATGATCGAAATTGGTAACAGTTCAAGAGAAATTCGGATTATTAAAGATTCATGTTGCGCATCAGTAAAATAACTGAAGACTCGTGTTTGAGATATTTCATTCCTTTCGACAGCACACTTCAATATTTTCATCCATAGCATTTGACTACAAATCGATCGAAAAGAAAATAAACACAAATAGAGTTGAAAATATTTACGACTAGGAAAATGTTTCAGATTGAAATTTTTTATTTTGTTATTTTTTGAGGAAGTAGAGTGGACATGAACATGTAGCGGAGGCAGTGTGGAGGCAGCAGAGAACGCCCGCCGCCGCCGCGGCGCAGTCAGTCTCGTCGCGGCGCTCAACGTCGAACGGTGGCATGCGATTCCTCTCCGCCGCACGCGCTCCACGCACGAATTGACTTGACTCCTCTGCCATTTCGACACTCACGTTTTCAATTAACAATCGGCAACGAACAAGAACCAAACATATCTTCATAATATATCAAACACATCAAAATGAAGTGTCGAAAAAAATAAGTTGTGAAGAGATCTGCGAGTGAGTAATTATAAAGTGAATCTAATAAAACTTTGATAGTAACCCAAATGTTAGTTGATTGCCCGGTTTATCACCGGTGATTAAACAATATAAACCGGTGGCTGTTTTTTGATTGATTGATTGATTGCGCCGTGGTGTGTGTATACGTGTGTGTGCGTGTGTGGAAAAGGTTTACATGTGTGTGCGTGGTAGCGTGTGGAGTTAATTAACTAATTGAACGCAGATCGACTGCCGACTGCCAGCGCGTCAATTTCGTTTAGCGGCCAGCGATTTGGAAGCTTTTCGGTTTTTGGCAATAAACGCGGCGCAGACTTACGTGGACGCAAAGGCACAGCTAGAGGTAATTATCATTTATATTTCATTGTGGATAATTAGGGCATTTTCATCGAGCGACGAGTCGGACGCACATTCTTTGCGCGTTCTTTCAGGTGGAAATCGAGTGCTTTGAAACCTTTACAAGTTTATATGAAATTTTATTACATTTTTCATATAAATACTTTTTAATGACCTGAGAAATATTGTGATTAAAATTGCCATTAATGTCCTCTTTAATTATGGAAGGTAATGCGATTATAAAATTTTATTCCTGCGCAATCGTTAATGATCAAATTTACGCAAAATTACGACCTGCTATTTTTAATTAAGTTTTATGTCACTTGGTTTATCGTATTCATTTTAATTTTGATATTCCTCTGAGCTTATGGAACTTTTTTTCATGGTAAAAGCTTTTGTCTTAATTTTTAATTAATATCGAAATATTTTTTAATTAAAAGTGTTTTTTAATATAATTTTAAAATTCAGATAAATATTAAATATTGTATGTTTGTGGTGAGTGTCAACTTTGAACTCACGTAATTAGAATA